GTTTTTATGGCTAAAGTCACCTGAACTAAATTTGCTGAACCACCGTTGACACTTACAAACGTTCAAAACATTTCCACAAACTTCTTTGATATTCTTTGTGACTACAGAGACGTTGCGTCTCTTCTTGTATTCAAACAGCATTACATGCCGAATGTTTTTCTCGTCATGTGCAATCACTATAAGGGATTAGAGTATACCAAACTTTACACATTATATAGGCTACACTAACGTGACGTTTAGATGGTTCGCTTAACTATTATACATTATACGTGATGTACATTTTTGGAGGGATGGTTAATGAAAATGTTCCAAAACGCGACATTAATTTCTTAACGACCTAATATCAAAATAATTGAAAATCTGTTAAATCAATAATTTCTTTATTATTGTGCATGCTAATTTTTAAACTCCTCAAGAATGTAAACATCTCCAGGTGAATGAGCCTGGGATCATAGCGCTATTTCAAGTGATCAAAAGCATTATGGAAAGTCAAAACCGATCATTCAATCGCCTAAACTGTTATAATACAGAACATTTATTTCCTCTTAAGCTTCTTTACCTAAATGTAGATTTTAGGAAGGCTAATGTACCACATTAACAAATCAAACAGTTAATCTACTCATGATACATATTGTTAAGATAGCGGAAGTCACGTGACGCTGGTAACACGTGATGAGTTTCTAGAAGGATCGGGGAATATCACGAATAATCCAGTATTTGCGTGACGCCCTCTATTCCTGTATATAAACGCGCCAGATTAAGCGAGACAATTAATCGGTACTGGAATAGCAGACAGAGATTGAAGATATAGACATATAATTGAGTCAAGCCGTAAGTAAAGTGTGTAAATCATTGTGAATTATATCGTGTATTTAAGTTAAAGTGACTGTAGAAATTAAGTGTATTGGAAAGTTGAATTGAGAAAAAATAAACTAGTTTTATTTAAGAAAGGACTTTTATCGGTTAAGTTTCTCGGAAAGAATTTCTACGAAAAATTAACAAACGAGAACACAGACGTAACAATATGATTGTAGTGTGTTGTTTCTTTATTTATAAATATATATAAAAATAATAATTCTTAACGTACATAACTCAACATTTACATGTCATTCTTAAGCATTCTTTAAAGCTTTGTAACATTCTTCCATTGAAACTTACTGAAAAATATGTATATCACACACATATACAGAGGTATAATCGTATTCTCTCAGAACAATCTGCACGTGCCAACACAGCTTCCTGTGGCCAAATATACAGTCTTGGTGCCACATAGTTTAGCATAAAGCTATGACTAAACGTTTTGCATCACTCTAAAATTATCTAATGTTACTTTGCAGAGTTGAATAAAACTTGCTGAATAATATTACTTTTAAAGACTGCTTTAAAATAACCTAAAAGATAACTCCACCCTTCACAGCCTCATGGGGTCCATGCCTGAGAGGATTGGGGAAGTCTTGAAAAACTAAGGAGCGCATTTCAAATACTAAGTTACTACGTTACTGGCCCGGCA